TCAGCCATTTCAGGAGGTAGTATATGATCAAGAACCGATGGTATTGAAGGAAAAAGTCCAAGCTGCACTGAGGGCATTGGTGAAAAATAAAGTTTCAGGAACTGACAGAATACCAATCGAGATGTTTCAACAAATGGATTCAATGCTGGAAGTGCTCACTCATCTATGCCAAGAAATGTGGAAGAGAGCTACCTGGCCAGCTGACTGGAAGAGATCCATATCTGTGCCCATTCTAAAGAAAGGTGATCCAACAGAATGTGGAAATTATTGAACAATATCATTAATATCACATACAAGTAAAATTTTGTTGAAGACAGTTCAAAAATGGTTGCAGCAGTACTTCGACAGAAGACTGCCAGAAATTCAAGCTAGATTCAGAAGAGGACATGGAACAAGGGATATCATTGCTGATGTCCGATGGATCTTGACTGAAAGCAGAGAACACCAGAAAGATGTTTACCTGTGTTTTATTGACTATGCAAAGACATTCGACCGCGTGGATCATAACAAATTATGGATAAGATTGTGAAGAAAGAGAATTCCAGAACACTTAATTGTGTCTATGCGGAACCTGTGCATAGACAAACAGGCAGTCGTTCAAACAGAACAAGGGGATACTGCCTGCTTTAAAGTGAGGAAAACTGTCTGTCAGGGTTATATCCTTTCACTATATTTACTCAATCTGTATGCTGATCAAATAATCCCAGAAGCTGGACTATATGAAGTATGAAGCATCAGGATTGGAGGAAGATTCATTAACAACCTGCAATATGCAGAAGATACAACCTTGCTTGCTGAAAGCGGAAAGGACTTGAAGTACTTACTGATGAACATCAAAGACTACAGCCTTTAGTATGGATTACACCTCAACATAAAGGAAAAAAATGCTCACGACTGGACCAATAAGCAACATCATGATAAACAGAGAAAACACTGAAGTTGTCAAGGATCTCATTTTACTTCGATCCAAATCAACGCCCATGGAAGCAGCAGTCAAGAAATCAAATGATGTATTTTGCATTGGACAATCTGCTGCAAAAGATCGCTTTATAGTTAAAAAGCAAAGACGTCACTTTGAGGACTAAGGTGTGGCTGACCCAAGCCATTGTATTTTCAGTCACCTCATATGCATGCAAAAGCTGGACACTGAATAAGGAAGACCAAAGAAGAATTGATGCCTTTGAATTATGGTGTTGGTGAAGAATATTAAATATACCAGGGACTGCCAAAAGAATGAACAAATCCATCTCGGAAGTAGTACAGCCAGAATGTTCTTTAGAAGCGAGGATACTGAGGCTTCGTCTCACTGACTTTGGACATGTTATCAGAAAGGCACCGTCCCTGGAGAATGGCATCATGTTTGGTAAAGTAGAGGGTCAGCAAAAAAGAGGTAGACCCTCAACGAGATGGACTGACAACAGTGGCTGCCACAATGGGCTCAACCATAGCAACGATTGTGAGGATGGCGCAGGACTGGGCAGTGTTTCGTTCTATTGTACGTAGGGTCACTATGAGTTGGAACCAACTCAACGGCACCTAACTATTAAAGAAATTGAATCCATAATTTGAGTTTTCCCCAAAGGAGAACTCCAGACCTAGATGGCATAACAGGAGAATTCTACCAAACATTTAAGGAAGAAATAACCCAACCTTCAACAAACTCTTCCAGAGTATAGGAAAAGAATAAACATTTTACAACTCATTTTATACACTCAGAATAACCTTGATGCCAAAATTTGACAAGAACATTAAAAAAAGAAAGAAAATTACAGAGCAACCTCATTCATGACCACAGATGGAAAAGTACTAAACGAAGCATTAGCAAATGTTCTGCTATAATACATAATCCAACAACCAAAGTGGGTTTCTTCTAGGAATACAAAGTTAGTTTAACATTCAAAAACCAGTCAATGGTTTGCCCCACATTAACAGAATAAACAATGAAAATAAATCATATTCTCAAATCAGTTCAGAAAGAGCATTTGGTAAAATTAACAACCATTCGTGATAAAAGCCCTTAAAAACCAGAAGTAGAAGGAAACTTAATCTGGTAAAGGGCATCTACCAAAGACCTACAGCAAGCATGATACTTAATGGTGAACAGCTGAAAACTTTCCCTTTGAATCAGGAATGACATGAGGTTAGCCATTATTGCCACTTCTATTCAGTAATGTCCTAGCTATTGTCCTAAAACCAAACCAAACCAAACCCACTGCTGTTGAGTTGATTCCGATTCATAGTGACCCTATAGGGCAGAGTATAACTGCCCCATAGGGTTCCCAAAGCTGTAATCCTTACGGTTTCTCTAGTGGAGCTGCTGGTGAGTTTGAACTAACGACCTTTCTGTTAGCCGAATGCTTTAACCACTGCACCACCAGAGCTCCTCAGCTATTGTCCTAGCCAGTATAATAATGAGGCAAGAAAAAGAAATAAAAGGCACAAGAATTAAAAAGGAAGAAATATTAATGACATGATTGCATATATAGAAAATCTAAAAATAAATTATTAGAATTAATAAGTGAGTTTAGCATGATTTCTGGATACTAGGTCAGTATACAAAAATCAACTGCATTCTGTCAGCAAGTAACAGTTAACAATATAACAACAACAAAAAATACCATCTATAATAGCATCAAAAAATAACAACGACCTAGAAAGTCTCTAGGTAAAATCTCTGCACATAAAACATTATGAGAGAACTTAGGATAAATGTGTACTAGTAAAATGATAGAGAAATTAATGGAACAGAGAAGAGTCTAGAAATAGATATATACACACGTACATATGTAGACCCTTGACTTAAGAGAAAGCTGGCACTTCAGTGTAGCAAAGAAAGGCAGTCTTTTCAATAAATGGTGCTAGGCCAATTGACTATCCATATGGAAAAAGTGAAACAACTCTTACCCTCATGGCTTTCATAAAAATCAGTTACAGGTGAATTACAGATCTGATGTGAAAGGCAAAACAATACAACTTCTAGAGGGTAACTTAAATGAATATCTTTAAAACCTTGGAAAGGGAAAGTTTTCTTAAATGGGACACAGAAAACATTAGGAAAAGATCAATTTCAGCACTATCTTATTTATCAATGACTTTTATTCCTCAGATGACATCATTGAGTGGGAAACCAAAAAAAAAAAAACTAAACCTGTTGCCATCGAGTCGATTCTGACTCAGTGACACAACAGGACAGAGTACAACTGTCCCATAGGGTTTCCAGGGAGCGGCTGGTGGATTCAAACTGCCGACCTTTTGGTTAGCAGCCAAGCTCTTAACCAATCTGCAGCACATATAAACAACAAAGGATTTGTATTAAGAATATGTCTTTACATATTCCTACAAATCATCATGGAACTGTAAATTAAAATCAGAAAGTGATATCTCTATATACATCAACCAGAAAGGCTAAAATTAAAAACAATACAGTATCAAGCAATGATAAGGATATGGAACAATGGGAACTTTCATGTGCTGGTATGAATGTACACTGGGAAAGCCACTTTGTAAAACTGTCATTATCTACTAAACTTGAAATACACATGTCCTCTAACTTAGCAATTCCACTCCTAAGTATATACCAGTAGAAACATGCATAGGTCAATTGGCATAACAAAGTTTAAGAAAATGTTCCGCATCCTATTTTGGCAAGTAGCGTCTGAGGTCTTAAAAGCTATCAGGTGGCCATCTAAGATGCATCAATTGATCCCAACCCACCTGGAGTAAAGGAGAATGAAGAACACCAAAGTCACAAGGAAAGCATTAGCCCAAGAGACAGAAAGGGCCACATAAACTGGAGACTGCAACAGCCTGAGACCAGAAGAACTAGATGGTGCCCAGCTACCACCAATGACCACCCTGACGGGGAACACAACAGAGTCCTTGTTGGAGCAGAAGAGTGGGGTGCAGAACTCAAATTCTAGTGAAAAGACCAGACTTAATGGTCTGACTGAGACTAGAGGAACCCCAGAGAGCACGGCCCCTGGACTCTCTGTCAACGCAGCACTAAAACCATTCCTGAGGCCAACTCTTCAGTCAAAGATTAGACTGGACTATGGGACATAAAATGATACTCGTGAAGAGCTTCTTAGCTCAAGTAGATACATGAGCTAAATGGGCAGCTCCTGTCCGGAGATGAGATGAGAAGGCAGAGAGGGTCAGGAGCTAGTTGAACCGACATGGGAAATCACGGGTGAAAGGAGGACTGTGCTGTCACAGTATAGGGAGAGAAATTAGGGTCACATAACAATGTATGTATAAATTTTTATATGAGAGACTAACTTGAATTGTAAACTAAGAAACGTGCATATATGTGTACCAAAAGACATAAAAGAATGTTCATAGCAGCATTATGGACATAACCCAAATGTCCATCAATACAGAGTAGATAAACTGTCATATAATCATACAGTGGTATACTATCTGTTGCCGTCGAGTCGATTCCGACTTATAGAGACCCTATAGGACAGAGTAGAACTGCCCCATAAGGTTTCCAAGGATCTGCTGGTGGATTCTAACCACTAGCCTCTTGGTTAGCAGCTGAGCTCTCAAATTACAGCTAGCTACGACGGGTGAATCTCATAAACATACTTTTAGGCAAAAGAAGGTACAGCCAAAAGAATAGATACTGTGTGATTCCATTTATATAAAGTTCAAAACAGACAAAACTAAGCTATAGTGTTAGAAGTCAAAATAATGGTTATCTTTGGGGAGACGAGAAGGAATACATATTGGGCAGATGTACAAGGAGGACTTTTTGGGTGCTGACGATGCTTTGTTTCTTGACCTGCATGATTACGTTGAAGTTTGTTTTGTGATAAGTCACTGCAGCTGTATGTTTTTATTAGCTTTTTGTGAGTTATATTTCAATTAAAAAATTAAGAAAAAAAGCACATACTCAAATGTAATTGTGTTTTATCAATTTGATCTTTATACTTGTTTCCAAAGCAATCCATAATTTTTATTGCTAGTTCTTAACTATAATTTTTTGTGTATCTTTATAGGAATCCAGTTGGTGGAAGAATTCAATTGGCTATTGCCATTATAATCTCTCTTTTTCCATTCATCTCATGGATCTACATATATATAAACAAAGAGATGCGGTCCTCCTGGCCAGCTCACTGCAAGACAGTAATTTAATTCAACAATCCTGTTCTTAAAATGAGTATTTTCAAATTAAAATCTTTTAATATCCATTTTTTATAAATACTGGGGTAACAAGCCAGTTTCCCAGGAGTTTATTTCAGGTAATTTAAGCTAATACTTGAGATTATTTAAAGAAAAAAATCCTAACAACTTTTTAAGGCTGCCTGTAATACGATGCAAGATTGCATGGGGCTGGCAAGAGATGGGGCTCTGACATTCTCTGGAAGCCTTTTCTGAATAATATGCCATAGTGTAGTGGAAAAGGCACTAAAACAAAAGTCAGGAAGTGTGATTTCTAACTAAGTTTCATCACTATGTGACCTGGGCAAATATATAAAGCTCCTGGTGGATACTTCCTATCTATAAAACAGGATTAATACTAGATCCCCTATTTACTTCATGCAGTTGGTGGAGTGGTTAAGAGCTCAGCTACTAACCAAACAGTTGGCAGTTCGAATCCACCAGTCGCTCCTGGAACCCTATGGGGCAGTTCTACTCTGTCCTATAGGGTTGCTATGAGTCAGAATCAAGTTGACGGCCATGGGTTAATATGAAAAAACATACTTACAAAGTTACAGAAGAGTGCACAAAGCAGGGTTTGAGAAGTATAATAGAAATAAGAAGTTCAAGAGAGGGCTATACCCCAAATTAGTCTCACTCTACTGAACTGGTAACTGCCACAAAGTAAATGAGGACCCCAGGTGACCCCAATAAGCAGGCATGTCTTGGTGGAAAAAAAAAAGGGAAGTTGGATAGAATAAAGGAATTTGGGACCAAATCAAGAAGGAAACAGGGAATGTTAATTACATTCTAAATGAGAAGACCAAAATCCATACATAAGTTTTTAATGAAAAAAGCAACTTTGAGGGGAAGAACATTTTAGAGCTGCATTGTCCAATACAGCAGACACTAGCCACGTGTGGCTACTGAGCTCTTGAAATGTGGCTAGAGTGATAGAGGAAGTGAATTTTTAATTCTTTTAATTGTAATTTAAAAACTAATATTCAATTCAGTTATTAGAAAACTTTCAAATGTGTTTGGAACAATGTGGCTACGTGAATGTTTTGTACTACAAATTTTATGAAATCTAGACATGGATTGACTATTGCCAATGAAAATTGTGTCCAAACAGAAATGAGCTGGATTTTGAAGACATAGTACAAAAACAAAAAAAATGTAAAATATTTGTTATATTGATTACATGTTGAAATGATATTTCTATTGGGTTAAATAAAATACATTATGAAATTAATTTTATCCATATTACTTTTTAAAATGTGACTACTAGAATATATAAAATTACTTATATAGCTCTTTCAGAGCTTCTTTATGGCAACTTTTTGCATATACTGGTGTTAAATTGTATAGTTAAGATACCGTTTCATGAGATTTTACGTCAGTAGAGTAAAAATTGGAGCCCTGGTGGCGTAGTGGTTAAGAGCTACGGCTGCTAACCAAAAGATTGGCAGTTCGACTCCACCAGCCACTCCTTGGAAACCCTGTGGGGCGGTTCTACTCTGTCCTATAGGGTTGCTATGAGTAGGAATCGACTCAATGGCAACAGGTTTTTTATAGAGTAAAAATGGTAATTTATCTGTTTTTATAGCTTTTAAATAGCGAATATTCTATAAATATTTGTTAAAGGAGGTATGAAATGGCCTTTTTAGTCAAATTCTCTATCAAGATTTGGATAAGGGAAAAGGAAAAAACCTAGTTGATATTAAGGCAATTAATCTTAAGTGAAGTTTATCCTAAGAGTCAATAAAATACACATAAAGGTTTTGACTGTTAAAGTGCAAATTTAGCTTATGTGATATGTATGATTCTGTCCTAGTTATTTCGTGCTGCTATAACAGAAATACCACAAGTGGATGGCTTTAACAAACATAAATTTATTCTCTCACAGTCTAAGAAGATAGAAGTCTGAATTCAGGGTGCCAACTCCAAAGGAAGGCTTTCTCTCTCTGTCGGCTCTGGGGGAAGGTCCTTGTCATCAATCTTCTGGTCTAGGAGCTTCTCAGCACAGGGACCCCAGGTCCAAGGGACATGCTCCCCTCCTGTTCTTCATTCTTGGTGGCATGTGGTCCCCCTCCTCTCTGCTTGGTTCTCTCTTTTTTTAAATCACAGAAGAAACTGACTCAAGATACAACCTAATTCTGTAGATTAAGTCCTGCCTCATTAACATAACTTCCGCTAATTCCATCTCATCAACATAATAGAGATAGGATTTACAACACGTAGGAAAATCACATCAGATGACAAAATGGTGGACAATCACACAGTACTGGGAATCATGGCCTACCCAAGTTGACACATTTTGGGAGACACAATTCAATCCATAAAGGCTCTTACACCTTTTTTTGTCTGACTATTAGAGTTATGTGAAGAAACTGACTTTCTAGTTCCATAAAGGACCTCCCCATCCTGTATGTACTGCTTGATTGCGTCGTGTTCAAGACACTTTCACTGTATCTGCATCTCTTGTATTAGACTGAATTCTGTGACTATACGCAGTCCCTTTTTATCCTCACTTTTTGAAAAGTATTAATGAAATTGTTCTTAAGTTCTATTTTTCAATTGAATATAAGTATTATTAGCCAGTAAGTTTAATATTTCTATTATCAAAATCGCTCGTCACCCCTGCATCCAACTTTTTTCTTCCTGTTGTCATCCTATTCAGCCTTGTTATCTAGTGCCTAGACTGAAGCACAAATCTAATCAGCTCAGAAGCCTTTGCTAACTCACTGTCTGACAAGTTAAATTCTATCTCTTGGCTCACCATTCAAGGCTCTTCAAAACATAGCCATGCCTATCCTTTTCCAGCTTTATTTCTTGTCATATTCCCAAGCACCCTTTGGTGAATCCTCATAGCATTACTTGCCACTCCTAAACTCATCATATCCTTCAGTTCCTTTGCTTATGCCATTCTACTTGTAATGCCCTTCCCCACTTAAACTTATCCTTTCAAACAAAATTAACTTCTCCCTCTGTGTTCCCATAGTCCTTTCTTTGTATTACAGTGGTCCCCCCCTTATCTGCAGAGGATATGTTCCAAGACCTCCCGTGGATGCCTGAAACCACAGAGAGTAATGAACCCTATATGTACTATGTTTTGCCTTATGTATACATACCTATGATAGTTTATAAATTAGGCACAGTAAGGGATTAACAACCAAAATAGAACAATTATAACAATATACTATAATAAACTGTCTCACTCATGGTATGATCTGTGATTGCAGGAAGCACATCATATTCACCTCTGTGGTAGGCTGAATAAGGGGCCCCAAAGATGTCCAGGTCCTAATCACTGGAACTTGTGAATATACTTTATATGGCAAAATGGACTTTGCAGATGTGATTAAATCAAGGATTTTGAGATGAGATTATCCTGGATTATACAGTGGGCCCTAAATGTAATCACAAGTGTCCTTATAAGAAGGAGGCAGTGGGAGATTTGACTACAGGGACAGAAGAGGAGAAGGTGATATGATAATAAAGCAGAGATTAAAAGATGCTACGTTGCTGGTTTAGAAGACGGAGGAATGGCCCGTGAGCCAAGAAATGCAGCTGCAGAAGCTGGAAAAGGCAAGGAAGGAGATTCTCCTCTAGAGCCTCCCCAGGGAGCGCAGCCTTGCCGACACCTTGGTTTTGACCAAGTGAAAGTGATTTTGGACTTCTAATCTCCAAAACTGTAAGAGAACAAATGTGTGTTGTTTTTAAGCCACTGAGTTTGGGGGAACGTGTTACAGCAGCCATAGGAAACTAATACAACCTCTGCATCTTTGTAGTGTTATCAGGCAGTATTGTCCCATACAGTCCTGAAGATAAGCACCCTAGGTTGGAAGGCACTATATAATAGCCGTAACAATGGACTCAAGCATACCAGTGACCATGAAGATGGCACAGGACCAGGCAACATTTCAAACATTCTGTCATATATAAGACTGCCATGAGTCCGAGCCAACCTAATGGCAACTGACAACAACAACAATCTTCATAGTGCCCAGGCACTCACCATACACACTTGGATTGACTAGTCTTTCTTTCATTGTTTTTAAGGCCTGAATCAAACTTTCTCTACATTGGAACAGTTCCAATGTGTCATCTAGTAGGTGTTTTGTAAATAAGTCTTAGCATATATGGCAACTGAGCTACTTAAGCATGTCTGACTTTTCCCTAAAGCGAGTCAAGGGAAAGTTCATTTACCTCCTAGGCTCACACAGCACTAGCTAGTGGCCCACAGGCCAGGCAACAGGCACACTGCTACCCTGGCTCTTGGGTCCTGCTTTGGCTGGAGTCACAAGAGGACCACATGGCCTCTCTGGAGGTGATGAGAGCTCTGAGAGCCCTGCACATGGACCTGTCAACACTTGCTGACGATTTTTCTGTTCACGAAATATAAGCCTATAAAGCCCAGTATGATAGGATTGTGGGCAAAAAATGTCCAAGGCTTATTCACACAGCAGGGGGAACAAAGTTTACCTGAGCCTATTTTATTTATTGTTTGATTATGAATTTTAGGTTAATAGATAAGACATGAATACATTCTCCTTGTAAGAAGTAAAAAAAAAAAATGAGGTAAGGCTAAATAAAGTCCCTTTTAAGAACTATACCCACCACCATCACCACCACCTCAGTCTTCTTGGTTTCTCACTTTCAGCAATGGAAATATTATCCAATAGTAACATTTTAGAATATTTTATGAACTAATGCACACTGAAGCCAAAAATACATTTTATTATGCAGGCACAACACTCAACAATGGGATTGAGGATTAATGTTTCTGTGGGGTTTTTGGGGGAGAGAGGCAAACACAAAAGCTAAGTCATTCTCTTTCTACAAAGGTAAATAAATCAGACTAAAAATGGAAAGCTTTTTCTTACTTGTAATTCATAATTCTGTTTGGAACTCTGCCTCTCCCTTTCAACATCATTTTATCAGGATAGACATGAACGGTGCCAAAAGCTTGGCTGTCTGGCGCTGTTTCAATGACCCCTTCTAGACTGACGTGGTGCACACCAAAAGGATCCTCTGAGTATCCACCATCATGAGTGTGACCAGCGAAGAAGCACACCACACACTCATGGGACCAAATGACTGCAAGGGCGTCTCTGTAATTCCAGGCTAGGCACACACTGTTGGAGGATTCTGGGTAAATGGGAAGATGGCCTGTTAGTCAAAGAAAAAAAGAGTTATGAACCAATTAAGCAACAGTGCTTTCGTCAAATGAATGGCTAAAAACCAGTACTCAGAAAAAAATGTGTATTGCTACCTCATTATCCAAACGCATTGAGATCAGAGGATCCAGACAGATGAAGAACTATGTAATCTACAGTTTCTGGAGCATAGAAAGAAGGGTTAGACAGTTCACATTCAAGGGGGAAGAAGACTGTAGAGGCAGAAACCCTGCGATCTGTGTGCCCTACATGTGTGAGCACCAAGGGAGATCAAGGGCAAAGCTGGCCAGAACCCAATCTCATTGATTTCCTTAAATATGAATGTCATATACATAGAAAAGATGTAATCCTGAAGAAAGGAGCAGTTGAGGTAGGATGCCATGGCATATGTGTCATTTATACACTCAATGCCTTAAAAGTGGTTCATGCCACTTTAAAGTTTTCTTCACAACTCCTCCATAAAATGGAGGTAGCCACACCTACTTTACAGATGAGATGAGAAAACTGAATTAAAGCAGGGAATATTTATTCTAGGTCCCACAGTAAATATGTGGAAGTACAGTCAGGAAAATTTGGAATTCCTGATGCCCAGACATCTATCAGGCCGCAGTCCTCACCCTGAGGTACAGGTTCAGTAGCTTACTGGTCTATGCTTCTTCCATCAAATCATTTTTCTTTTTTCTGTTATTGTTCATTTTTATTCCAAAATTTAAACATGTTTCTGCTTAATATCTATTAGTTTGTAATATAAGTTTTAAAAACGTCGGCAGTTAACAGGCCACTAAAGCAAGAATAGGAGTCAAAGTAACTTACTGTGCATACACATCCTCACAACCACCCTTAAAGCTGTAATAAGGGTCAAGAGCCCAAAGGGGCTGTGTGACTTCCCAGTGCCTAGAAGCTACACTGGACTCATCTATCAAGACTCTCCAGCACTGGACACAAATAGTCGCTCCCTCCTCCTTGAAACACTTGGCTTCCAGGACACCACACTCTCCTAGTTTTCCTCCAACTTCAATGGCCACTAATTATCAATCTCCTTTGCTAGTTTCTCCTAATTTTCCTAGTGTCTTACCAGGTGTGCCCGAATGCTTAGTCCTTGGACTTCTCCTCTCTATCTACGCCTAATGCCTTGGTGATCTCTCAGTGATTTACATAGCTTTAAAGATCATCTATGTTCTTTCAACCTCCACATTTATATATCTAGCCCAAACCTCAATATTGAGTTTCAGATTCATACGTCCAAACTGTCTACTCAACATCTCCACTAATGTCTAATAGACTTCTGATGTCTAATAGGCGTCTGATATCTAATAGGCATCTGAAACTTAATATATCCAAATGTGAACTCATGAACCGTCCCTCCAAGCCTTCTCCTCCTGTAACATTCCCCATCTTAGCTAATGGCAATTCTATCCAATCGCATAGCCAAAATTCAAAAAGTAGGCAAAATGACCTCTGAGTAGCCAAAATGAAAGTTAGAAAAGCAAACAAAAACGAAAGAAAATTTCTATTAAACATTTTAAACTTTACAAGAAAATCTCACTCAGTTGTTAAAGATTTGCTTATCCAGTTTCTTAGCTTACAGCAAAGTGGAAGAAAAAATTTAAGAGACACTAAAGCAGAAGGGTACATTGACAGCAGTAAAAAAGAAATGGGAAGAATACAGGCTAGAATGGGAAAGGGGGCTGGAATATAAAACACGGATTCCAGTCTCACTTCTGTCAGTAGCTACAGGATCTTAGCTATGCAGTTCAATCTCTTTTAGGCCTCTGTTTCCTCATCTTTAAAACAAACAGGTTTGGCTATATGATGTGTAGTTTTTTTTTTTTTTTTTAAGCTCTAGTATTCTTTAAAGTTAACAGTTACAGCCTAGCAGAGAAAAACTAAAAAGCAGACGTAAGTCAAAAAGCATCCCGGTTTTTGAGATCCTTTATTATAGAGCCAAATAGTGTCACAAATATGCCAATAATCTTTGAGGACCCTGGTGGCACAGTGGTTAAGAGCTCAGGCTGCTAACCAAAAGGTTGGCAGTTTGAATCTACCAGCTGCTCCTTGAAAACCCTATGGGGCAGTTCTACTCTGTCCTATAGGGTCACTATGAGCCAGAATTGACTCAACAGCAATGGGTTTATATTTTCCAAGCCTTGAGTAAACATTTAATATTCCAGTGGCAGCAGAAACACTCCTACTCCAACTACATGTTTTTTCTGTATCACTGTAAGATTAATAAAAACTAATTTATATATAGAAACATAATTTTATATTATCCACCATCTGAACAGCCTGACCATTTTCCAAGTGTTTTCATATTTACAATTTTACTTGACACAATACTGAGAAAACCACAGGATGTAGGTTAGATATTTGTCCAGGGTTCCACAGCCCATATAAATAAGGGCCAGGATGGCTTGCAGTCCTTCTGAGTCTCAGTCCAGTCTTCTCACCCATTATGCCACATCAGTTCTAGAACAAGGCCTCTGATCTCAGCCCCCAAACCATATACACCAGCCATACTTCAAATCCAAATTCAGCTCTTCCTCTGTGTGTGTGTATGTGTGCATATGTGTGTACGCATGTATCTGCATAAGTGTGTTTTAAGTACGTCAATATTCCCATAATCTCTGATGGCAGTATGTCTGTCAAAGAACTAAATTCTAAGTGAAAAGAACATAAATCCAAATTCCTTATAACCTTGTGGTAGACACAGATATAGAACTGACATTATTCACTGCCAGCCGAGCCTGTAATACTTCTCCCCTGCGATGTCAGCTTTCCCTTCATCTAGGCAGCAGCTGCCTATTTGGTAGCCACTTACTTCAGCAACAGGCAGGTCTCCTAAGGCTGAGATTGTGTGCAGGGCCTGAACTGAATTTCTCATTTAAAAATTACTACATAAATTGATCCCACTTAGGGAAATTCTACTTTGAATTCTAAAAGGCCAACTTACAAGCTTTCTAACTTAGCTATAGGATTCTTATAATTTATTTAGATAGTTGATAACACAAAATTATATTTCTATGTATAAATGTAATTTTTATTTATTAATCTTCTACTAGACATGTTATCAGGTGGGACCAGTCCCTGGAGAAGGACATCATGCTTGGTAAAGTAGAGGGTCAGCGAAAAAGAGGAAGCCCCTCAACGAGATGGGTTGACACAGTGGCTGCAACAATGGGCTCAAGCATAACAACGATTGTGAGGATGACGCAGTACCAGGCAGTGTTTCATTCTGTTGTACATACAGTTGCTATGAGTCGGAACCAACTCAACGGCACCTAACAACAGTAATCTTCTACTCATGTGGGAAAAAGTATGTACATGGACTAGGGACTTTCTAACGTGTAAAATAACGTGTCTGTTATTTTACAATTCTTTCCTGACTCAACCTTAAATGTTTATCTTATATTCAGGTTGTTTCTTAATAAAACATTTTATACTAAGTAACCATTTTACATGAAAAAAAAAACCCAAACCCACTTCTGTCGAGTCGGTTCCAACTCATAGCGACCCTGTAGGACAGAGTAGAACTGCCCCACAGGGTTTCCAAGGAGTGGCTGGTGGATTCGAACTGCTGACCTTGGGCTATCACAATATACATATCGCCCGTATTATTAAAACCTGATTTTTCCCATTCCCTAAAAAGCTAGTGTAATCAGATAAACAATTTCACTACTTACTCACAATCACCACCTTTTCTTGGTTTGTGTCAGAGAATGTAAGAACTTCATTCAACCAGTTCAACTGTTCTTGGCTGAATCCTCCATTAAACTGGACAAACTGGGGCTCAGAAAGTCCTGAAACGAATTCAGAAAGTCAGATCCACCAAATGTCCACTTTTTCCCTCATTTCAGCATTCAAACTTAGCTAATGCTGGGATATTTGTATTTTTCTTTAGAAATATTTGACTGGCAGCAATCTTATATTAAAGATTAAATAACTTAAAATAGGAAATCACAAGAATTTAGAGCAATATAAAAATCACAATCTATTTTAATCCTAGTTTGGACACTTCTGCTTATTTCATTGGCTTTCCATTACATTTTAAATAAAACACAAACTCCTTACTCCGCCAAAAGGTACTACGTATTCTAGCTCCTGTTTATGCTCCAAAATCATCTTGTACCCCCAGTTGGCCCTTTTCTGCATTCTTCAAAAATCCCAAATTCTTATTCTGCTTAGGGCCTTTACATTTGTTTTTCTCTGTCTGCAATACTCTGCCCCTATAAACACACTGCTGAGCCAATTCCGACTCACAGCAACCCTATAGGGCAGAATAGAACTGCCCCATAGGGTTTCCAAGATGGTCATCTTTGGGAAGCAGACTGCCACATCTTTCTCCCACAGAGCAGCAGGTGGGTTTGAACTGCCAACCTTTGGGTTAGCACCCAAGTGCTTAACCACTGCGCCACCAGGGCTCCTTACTCTTCCCAAAGATGACTCCTTCTCATTCAGGTCTCAGCGTAAATGCTTATTTCCTGAGAGAGGCCTTCTTTGACCACCTACTCTAAACTAGTAACCCTAATCCTTTCCTGTAACATCATTCAGCTTTGTTTTCCTGGGAGCACTTATCACTATGACAAATAGCCTTATTTTTGTTTCATTTATTATCTGTCCTGTCCACCTACCTCTCTTTTCTCCCCCACTCCATCCATAAAAAAGGGATATTGTCAGTTTTTGTTATAGCTCTGAATAGCTCACCCTAGAAAAAATGCCTGGCACAGAGTAAGCATTCACGTATCTGCTAAATAAAGGAATGCTGAATCAACTGCAATCAATCCGTGTGACATCAGGTTTGTGAGAAATCCTGACCCTGAACAACAGCAACAATATACTTTTACCTTAATCGTGCATCTTCCTGCTGAATAAAAGGTAGCTGAAGAATTTAAAGACAATGTATTAGATTCTCAGCTCAAAGGAATAATTCACCTTGAGGACTATTCAATTCCGCATTTGGATTATGCTCCTTCAGTATCTTCATACATTGCTGGTATTTTGGAGAGGACTGATCCATACCCAAGACACTCAAGTCATAAGAATCAAGTAAAATGAACCGGAATTTAGGGAATGGTACAAAATGATAAGCATAGTAATTCTCTGAAGGTATGGTCTCAGGATGATGTACAATCTGGTCTTCTAGAAACTTTGTGTTAAGTTTGGAGTTTGTTAAATAGTCTCTACTGAAGTTATAAAATTCATGATTTCCCCACGTATGATGAACTGGGACTTTAAGCATTTCAAATGTGTTCATAACAAGTTCTAGTGACTTTTCTGATGCTTGATACTGTGCATTATATCCATCGATGATATCTCCAAGCTGAAGTACACAACAGGGTATATTGCTTTCTTTCTTCCAGTCTTCAATAGCATCCTGTAAATGATGAAGGCTATGTCTGTAGTATCTCCTCCTGTTTCCTTGGAAATTATAGCCGTCTTCTAAATCAGCATATTGAATATCTGCTATAACTCCAAAGGAGAAGAGAAGTTCTGAATTCTCATTTAGGGTTTCAGGATCGGGCTGATCATCCATAATCTCCAAAAAGCTTCCTTGTAAACTACATAAAGTAAAAAATACAACTAAGTTATAAACATCTTAGTTTTCTAACTGGACTGAAGAAATGCTAAAATGAATATTAAACTTAATAGTTTAATTCACTAAGCACCTTGGTATAGAGAAAAGTGCATGGGCTTTGGATGGTCACAGGTCCAAATTACCATGTCTTTAAAACACTTCAGTTTTCTCATCTGTATAACTGATGATAACCCCTATCCCTCAGAAGAGTAACAATTTACAAAAAGGTACTTTCATCCTATTAATGAACAGGCATTCTAATTTAAGTAGAGCCAATTTCAAATCTGGAATAATTTTTAAGAAATATGCACTGGTTTTAAACACACATACACACACACACCTTTCCCACAAACACCAAAATGGTTCTATCAAAACATGAAGGTTTATTTGAAAGTTGTGTATTATACAAATTCATTTCTACCTTATGCATTAGTTTCCCATTACAGGCTATTTTCTGTCAGGGTAGGTCTTTTCTCTCCGCTGGTGGTTAGGTAACCTGAAATAAGTTTCTTGTATTTTATATCTGGAATAACAAGGGGAGGCAGTGAAGATGTGGAAAGAGAAAAAATTTTTATCTTTTTACTTAAATATGTATATGTATATATTTTCAAAGGAATAATTTTAATCAAAAAAATCTGGCATAAAAATTAACTATGACATTGATGTGACTATTGTCATTTCTGTGACAAGTGGTTGTTGGTTCTTTAAACAGTTGGATTCTAATTCTAATTTTTTTTTTAACCTGAATATTAACTCCCCCCCCAAACCCCCCAACCAAAACACGAAAGACTGAATCTTTTCTTCTTACAGAATTATTTTTGCCCTGAATTGTGGTCAAGTAGAGCAAGGAATTTAACTCCCCCCCCCCCACAAAAAAAGAAACTATTATTTCATTAGATTGCTTACAATCTAAATTTATAATCATTTCTTAAAAGAGCCAAGAACACTAAAGTTTAAAGCAAAACTAAAGACCAAGACCTAAATTATCAACTATTTTTATTTATAAAGATTATAGTAATACACTGCTGCTGTGAGTCTGAATTTATCATTAAAATTTAATTGCTTCTAAACATTCATTTGGAACTTCTAAAATTACTTTCAGACTCCTGGTCTCCAGTCATTGGCCCAGTAAACCTACAGAGCCACTACTGAATCCTCTCCAGACATGTGAAATCCTAATTGTAAGAGCTCTCTTATCCGAGATGGAGGCAACAACTCCACAATCAGCAATAAAAATCAGACTTCAGTTTTACTTATTTGAGAACAGGGGCCTCTTTTCATTCTAAAACTGTTATTACTAATGATACACCTTCTCTCTGGTCCATCCAATTATAAACTTCAGCTACTTTCCTTTTTTCCTTAATCTAGTTGGATATAACTAGCCCAAAAATAGGATAGCCCTAAAACAGCACCAGAAAAGAAACAGAAATCCTGAAAAATGGTTTGGCGTTCTCACGTTATTTTTTTGTATTTGCTCACTTCTTCCTTCAGCCCCCATCTAAAAGCCCCACTAGATACCAAGTCAGTAAATATGTATGAGGAGTGGTAGAAATGAGAATCTGATCTGAAAGGTAAAGAACTCAGATACAAGAAATGCAAAACTCACTAAATCAGCTGAAAATCTCTAGTTCTATTAGGTTTCAAATTTTTGTGATTCCAAGTACAGATTAACAAGAGAATCAAACTAAAAATAATTTAGCAAGTACATGGAACATTATTAGCAAAGCTTAAGGGAAAACTGTTTCCGGGAATGCTTTTATCCCCTGCCAAATGAGCTGTTTGTTTTTACCTTTAAACAAGGTTTAAAGGCTATATCACCATGGGACTACTCAGAGCCCTTAAGGAGATAATATGCACTATGGATCTTCCACAGGGAATTTAGTCCCAATTAATTTGATCTTCTCTCCAGCAGACAGCTGTTATTGTTGCCTATCCAGCATCCCAATTTTCCTTTAAGCATCTACCCAATTCCTCACTCTCAGCCCATGTAGTTTGACCCAAGCCTCCTGGCTGGGGAAGGGAAGGAGCAAAATCTGGCCCGCTTGGGCCTTTTATAAAAGCCCAGTTCCCCTCTGGCCAGCAGGCATATAACCCAAGTTGGGTCAATAAGCATCAGCCCTGGGACTTTTGCTAGAACTATTAACAACACTACTGGAGCTACCTCTTCTAAACTAATAGCTAAAACTGGAGATGCTAGGGAAAAGTTACCTGAGAATAAACCCAACAGACAAGGAAGCAAATCTGAATGATGACAAGAAGTAGATTCTGGGAAACATTAGTAGAATACCTGGATCTACCTGTCTACTAGAACCACCCTCAGTCACTTAGTTGTATCAGCCAATAAATTCCCCTTTTTAGACTTACAGCCAAACTGAATTGCTTTTCTGTCATGTGCTATCAAAAGGTCTGTCTGTTAAAATTTCCACTGGAATACAGTAGTTCAGTTTATGGAAACTCAAAGCTACACTGAGAGTTAGCAACTTTTTAGAGAAAGTTAAACAATGTGGAGAGAACCACCAAGGGCCACATACTTCAAAACAGCAATGTGTACTGGGGTAGAAAAGAGATCCAAAATGTTAAATACATAAACCAAATAAACCAAATCCATTGCCATCAAGTTGATTCTGACTCATAGTGACCCTACAGGACAGAGTAGAACTGCCCCATAGGGTTCCCAAGGAGCAGCTGGTAGATTTGAACTGCCAACCTTTTGGTTAGCAGCTGAGCTCTTAGCCACTGTGCCACCAGAGCTCCGCTGAATATATAGTTTCTTTTTTAAAAAAAAAAAAAAAGGATAAGAATAGGGAACATGCCAGTTTATTAATTAATTATTTTGAAAAACAGACATTTAAATTTACACTGTGGATCTGTTAAGATCAGAGACAAGAGAAGACAGGGGCACATTGAGGGAAAGACAGCCAGAGTCAGAAGTGAGTATTGGGGCAAAAAGAACCAAGTGGGTAGGGAATTGACTCTCTTGGGGAATTTAAATAGGATCTTTTATTTTTTAGATTTTAGTTAAGAGGTATTAGGATGAAGTGCTGAAAGCTTTGAAACTGAAGACCTTGCAAATGAATTATAATCTCAGTTTTTCCTACAGTAAATAAGTAAAATCACCTTGTTGGGTTGTTGTAAGATTCAACTGAGTTATAATGCTCAGCAAACTATTTTGTAAACCAGAAAGCACTATATGCATACTGTCATGGATTGAATTATGTCCCCCCAAAACTGTGTGTATCAATTTGGCTGGACCATGATTCCTAGCATTGTGTGATTTTCCTATATGTTGTAAATCCTGCCTCTATGATGTTAATGAGGGAGGATGGGTGGCAGTTGTGTAAGGCAGGACTCAGTCTACAAAACTGGATTGTGTCCTAAGGCAATCTCTTGAGATATAAAAGAGAGAAGAGAGCAGAGAGACAGGGGGACCTCATACCACCAAAAAAGCAGTGCCAGGAGCAGAGCGTGTCCTTTGGACCCAGGGTCCCTGCGCGCAGAAGCTCCTAGTCCGGGGGAACATTGATGAGAAGGCTGACAGAGAAAGCCTTCCCCTGGAGCTGACACCCTGAATTTGGACTTTTAGCCTACTTTACTGTGAAGAAATAATTTCTCTTTGTTAAAGTCATCCATTTGTGGTATTTCTGTTGTAGCAGCACTAGATGACTAAGACACATACGAAGAAAAAGAATTTTTAAATTAGATATCTGAAAATATATCAGTCTGGTGAGCCTCAAGATAAATGAAACAACTCCCAACTTTTTCTAGTAGGAAGAAATGAAAACTGTTACAGGATTTTCTCTCAAAACTCCTACAAAAAGTCATGGGACAGGATAAGTAGCTAGCATTTTGTGAAAACAACCTTAGGCGTAAGTAATTTTATAAATAGGAAGAAAAATCCAGGGATGCTTAATTGCTGGGAACTTGCTGCAAGATGATGCTAATAATAAAATTGCTGTAATACTTAAGATTGGTAGATGGCTGAAGTTCCTTGGAGAAAACCCTCAAGTATCTATGATGAACTGGTGAACAAGGACAGCCCTACATCAGGGCTTCAAATGGATTCATTCCAGTTCGAACCCCTGCTGAGAATTTGCATTTCTAACAAGGTTCCCTGGCAACGCTAATGCTGCCGGTTAGGGACCAATTCTGAGAAGCACAAGTAGAGCAGTGGTTCTCAAAATCTGTTATACATAAGCATCACCTGGCAATCTTGTTAAACTGTAGATTATGACTCGGTATATCTGGGGTGGAAATGCCAAATTCTCAGCAGGGGTTCACACCGGAACAAATGGGTTGGAGGCCCTGCCCCACACTGAAAAGTATGCTTCCTTCACACTACACTACCAAAGAAAAAAACTGCAAATCTGGACATTAGTAAAGAGAGATTTTATTAAGGGGGACTATTGTAATGGGAGGAGCCCTGGTGGCACAGTGGGTAAGCACTCGGCTGCTAACTGAAAGGTTAGTGGTTGGAACCCACCAGCCACTTTGAGGGATAAAGATGTGACAGTCTGCTTCTGTAAGATTACAGCCTTGGAAGCTCTACAGGACAGACCTCCTGTGTCCCATACGGTCGCTATGAGTCAGAATAGACTGGACGGCAACAAGAATTGCAGTGGGCGAAAAGGGAGTGGTGGTTCGGAGGAGGAATCTTGCCTTCCATACAGGAGATCTGGGTTTGATTCCCAGCCACTGTCTGTCAGTGGAGGCTTGTGTGTTGCTATGATGCTGAACAGGTTTCAGCAGAGCTTCAAGACTAAGAGGCGACTAGGAAGAAAGGCTTGATGATCTACTTCTGAAAAATGAAAATCCTATGCATCACAATGGTCCAATCTGCAACCAACCACGGGCATGACACAGGATCGGGTAACGTTTCATTCCGTTTTACGTGGGGTCATCATGAGTTGGGGACCGACTCCACTGCAGTTAACAAGAACATTGCAAAAGAAAGATGCTCAAAACCTAAGCCAGAGGGACTTAAAAATTGCAGACATAGATTTTTCATATGAAGGGGAAGTCAAGGCGATATAAAGAAATAAAAGACTGGTATAAAGTTAGAAAAATAGGGATAAATATTAAGGTAACCACAAAGGAATCTAACAATCCTACAAATCAAAATACAAAAGTAGAAAAATATAAAGACCCAGCAAACCCAAATCTACAACAATGAAAAAGACAAAAAAAATACATAAAGAAAAACGACTCAGCACAGAAAATTAATGGTAACAAAGAAACTGTGAACAACACAAAAAGAGACATCAGGATGACACACTAAACTCATACTTATCAATAATTATGCTGAATGTAAACATACTTAATGCACCAATAAAGAGACAGAGAGTGGCAGATTGGATAAAAAAGCATGATCCGACTATATGCTGCCTACAAGAGACACACCTTAGACTTAAAGACACAAACA